GCTTGTTGTCATTGAATCCATCATCATCTTTGATGTGGAGTCACAAAATTATCCAGAATATGATTGATCGGAGATCACTGGTAAACAATCACAAAATTTCAAAAGATCATTTCAGATCATTCACCTTACATAACGGGAATTTCAAAATTTCGCTTAATTCTTCATGAAATATCACATAAGCCTGGGTGACAATTCTTGGCCATTGACTGGCTCAAATTTTTGGAAATTCAGATCATCTGGATTGTGGTGTCAAGCGATTTGAACAAAAATTAGAAGCTCATACTTTTTCCCGCGTTATAATATTAGCTACACTTTCGGTAAGAGCTCAAAGGTCAGTGGTCTAATAAAAATTGAATTTTTGTACTGCAACCTCATTGCGGTTGCAGAACAGATCCTCCATAATCTCAGCATCCTCACTTCACATGCTATCTGTTTGTTTACTCGAACACATACAAACAGACACACACAACACAAATACACCGACATACTACATACATTACGTACAAAAACAAACAACAATTGTGTGGTAAACATCACAAACAGACAAAAACACACACAGAGACATAAGCACAAACGCACACAAACAAACACAACACGTATAACATACACATCAACACAAGCAACTACTCGCAGATATAGACAAACACGCACATGCAACAAATACACACACTCAAGCACATCCCCATACAAGCGATCACATACATACACACACGACGCGCACACGCACACATACGCAAAATACAGGCTGCAAACAGACAAACATACAGGAAACACACAAATACGTACACACAGACTCATGTATACGCACACGCAGAGGGACAGACAAGATTCTCGAGCGGCACTTTTACCGGTTTTGAACTTTTACCAAAACAAAAAAGAATTCGGTGAAAAAAATATTCGAAAATTTCTCAGATTGATCGCACAACCTCACCTATGTTTTGAAGAAAACTGATTTTTGTGAATTCTGAAAATTATTTTTGAACAAGCCAATTATACCTTTGGGGTAAGGCAAGTATAAAAATGCACCAGCGGCGGTTATCTGGCAGTGGATCTCGCTAATGACGTGCATATGCCAATCGTTCGGACAATGGCGCGAACTCTGGTGCCAGTTATTTCCCGTGTCTTCCTCAAAAGCAGAGTTCCAACTCAGAAAAAGAAGCTCAGGCACAAAAACCTAGGCCTCGTCAGAAGTCCCGTGGTTTCCTTTATGAAGGACTGCTAATAAACGACTGCGCTGAACAAATCTCGAAACAACAAGTGCAAAAAAAAGCGTCTTTGGTCGCGCAGCTCCGATAGTGGATGACCGATCGTGTCACGTTACTCAAATGCGTCATCATCATTTATTCAATTTAAGCACATTTATGCAAATTTTGGTCACAATATCTACAAGGCCGTAAGGTGAAATGAGTTAAACGAATGAGAAAAGCAAAAGTATTATGGCACCACAATCAATCTGCGGACTACGAAAAATTAATTTGGTTTGTTGAAGGCTTTACGTATGCTCCATTAATTAACTAGCTGATAATTTCATGTATCAATAAACTCAATAGCATTTTTATGACAAGGTAATAAAATCACGACCCGGTTACCATGATGTTCTAGTTTAAAAAGTCCAATCTTCGGTTCCCCTCAGCTCCTTCATCTTGCGATCACTCTCGATCATTTCGGCGTCAAAGAAACGTCTTTTAATGTGAGAGACTGTTCAAGGATTCAGTCAGTTAACAAGAACCCATAGGAAAGAAACCCCACTACAAGAATGGCTCAAATTTGATCTAATCACAAACTCTAATTGTTTTTTTCATTTCCCATGCATTTTGAGTCTTCCTTGCTGAACAAAGCTGTTTCAGAGCAAAAAAGGATGTGCTTTTGCCAATAAGTTAACATTTTGAATTCAACAAGTTAATATAATAAAACTGTCACACCTCCTACACCCTACTACTGTTCTCTTTCCGGCCATGTGTAGGGCCAATAATTTGGGGAGCGTGGATTTATTTCGAAAGTGTTGAAACCAAATTCGAAATTTTTGTTCTGGTCAAGTTGCAGCTTATTGGCGATCACTCCTTTTACGATAACCATTTGATAGAACTCTCTGATGAGTTGCTGTGGTACCCAGCGTAGATAACCAATTAGCGTGGAAGCATTGCGGTAGCGTAATGCCATTTCAATATCGCTTACTGGATGTAACGGATCGTATACCAGCAAACTGCGTCCGCTAGCCGTTTCCTCTACCCCAATTATTGAGCGGCTGTGGCCTGAATTAATTGCTACTAAATTTTTCTTTCTACATAGATTTTAGCCAGTGTGAATCGAAAAAA